CTTTGTGTTCACTGCCTGGAGCTTTTTTTACAGGCTGTCAAAAATCCAATTATTGTCATTTTTTACTGATGAAAACATTAATTTACATGTTAAGTTGAAATGCCGTGCCAAAAATCGTTGAGTCAATATGGCTCCTCTGAAATTTGTGAAATGTATAAAAATATCCTTTATCTGCCCAAAGAGCAGATCATGAGCATGTGAGCAATGCTTAAAATCTTAATGGAAACTGTAATCTCCATCAAAATCAAATTGAGTCTCTTGTCAGGGGACAGAGAAGCCACAAAAGTGATCAACAAATTGTCCTGCAAATCTCAGTGTGGACTTGGTGGATCTGTAAACCTCACCTAGCTATCAAGTGACCATGGGTGCTGCAAAATGTTGATTTTATCAATGGGAGATGGCATAGAATGGTTATTTAGTGACAAGATTGCATTCACTGTGATGGCATCATTGAATGTAAATCTTTCTGTTAAAAAATATTACAACATCACAGTGAAACACAAAAATGTCATCTGAAGTTTAATGACCTTCAAGAAGAAATTAAAGACCAGTAAAGACTTCAGATTAAGTGTATAGATATGATTTAAACCTGGAATATTACAGAGATATCAGAAGAAAACACTAAAACTTTTGGATGTTAAACACTTGAAGCCAAAAGGATTCACAGCTTTTTTTTTTTTAAGGACTGGAAAGAGCCCAAAACCCTGTTTGTCTCTGATAACACAAAGCAGCACAAGCAAAAGTGGTCCTAAAAGTATCCATGAAATCAACTATAAAAATCACTGATTCTTTCTCCACATGTGCTGCAGTAGGAGAGGAAAAAAATTTGAAATTTGTGTACTTGGTGAGTGTGGAGCAGCAGAGCTTCCCTGAGCTCGGGTGTGCACAGAGCTCTTTGTCCTGCAGCAGGAGGTGATGCCACCACAATTTATACAATTTGTCCCTGCTTTTACACTTCCTCCTCAGGCTTAGGGCTGCTGCCTAAATTCACCCAGAGCCTGGTTACAAAATAAAAGGTTGAAAAGCTCCAAACTTGGGCTTTTTCAGACCCACAGCAAATGTATCTCATGGCAGTTTTTAAAGGTTAACTAGTGGAAGGCACTGGTGTGAAACCACTTGTATTCTGTTTCAAGTTTGTCCCTGTTTTGGTGTTTCTCATAAAGGTCAACCACCTGCCACAGCCTGATAAAAGAGACAAGGGAATCTGGCTGGATCACTGTCACTCACTGCTGAAATCCACACTTTGGGGAGATGTCCCAAATTCTGTGAAAATAATGAGCTGAAGTCAGAGATAAAAAACCCACAGCTATACACAGATAAGAGAAGGGAAAGTAGATGGTGATAGAAGCTGAAAATATGTGACAGGCTTAAAATATCCAGTGAAAAGATGTGTTTCCTAACCAGCATAGACAATTATTTCACTCACATTCATTTTCATCAGTGTTTTACCCAGAAAAGCTCAACCTCCTGGTAAAAGCCATACTCAGATATTCCAAAAACTCTTCTGCTGCCAGTAAATTAAACTTGGATTAGAGATTACCAAATGACACTATATTTATACCAATGTGTGTAAGCAGATATTGTTTCAGTACATTCCCAACCTGATTCAGCCATCCCTGGCAGTGCCCAAGGCGAGTTTGGATGGAGCTTGGAGCAACCTGGGACAGTGGAAGGTGTCCCTGCCCATGGCAGGGGGTAGAATAAGATGGATTTTAAAATCCTTCCAACCCAAAGCAGTGTGGGATTTGCAGCTACTGAAAGCTGTCTTTAAGAGGTTACTGCACTTGTAGTTATCAGGTTGGATGAGAAAAACTCAGATGATAATTAAACCAATAAAAATGAGCAGCTGGATAACCTGACAAGGATAGTTAAGGAGAGGCCAGGCAGCTCCCATTGTGTTTTCTGATTGTCAGGGCTCTGCATGGGAGCAGATGACTGATGGTTGGTATTATCAAGCACAGTGGAGCATCTCCTGCTTTAACCTTTCATTTGTTTCACCTTTCCTGTGTGGGTGAGGTTGTGCAGCTGAATTTCTTATTACTTGGAAGGGATTGTATTTTTCTCTTTCATATCAGGGATGATCGAGATTTAGCAAAGTTCCCACATAAGAGAACTGCTATAAGCTGTTCAAATGGATCTGTAATTACAAAAGGGCTGAATCCACCCTCCAGTTTTATTTCTTGGCATCTCTGCAGGGTTGTCTGTTTTCCTACAACACTAAAAGGAAAAGAGATTTAAAGCACAGACTTTTTTTAAAAAAATTACCTGTTCTAAAGAGGTGGGAAAGGCAGATAAATAGAAAACATTGGTATCCAGATTTACTGGTTTGTGGTTTGGATGTGTCTGAAGGTTAAATAATGGTGCTGTGTATTTGAAAGGAAAGGAACATTTTAACTCCCAGGTGCATAACTACAGCAGCAAATAGGGCACACATCAGTTTGACATCATTACATCCAGGGCAGGCATAAACATCTCAGAGCAAGATATTCACACATCTGATATTCCTGGTAAAATTCCTTGGAGCCTGAGTGCTTTCCAGTGCTGGACAATCAGAAAATAATTGCACAGACAAATCCACTTGATAGCTATTAGGCCATTTATTTAGGAATGCCTGGACTAAAATGGAGTAAGGTCACCTGCATTGGTCCCAGTTCTGCTGTGCCCAAACTCGTGTAAGCACTAGTGACAGCCAGGAAAGAACACCAAAGCCACTGTCCCCAGCACCTGAGGCCTTCAGCAATCCAGTCTCAGCTAACAGATGTCCAAGAATTCCCCATCAAATCCATTTCTTGTCATCAAATAAAAAATAATTTCTCATAGAAAGAACCTCAGTTCTGAGAACAAAGCACAGGAACGTCGAGGTTTGTAAAGTTAAACTCTCACAGCATTACCTCAGGGTAGAGAGACCTCACCTGCCAGGACCAAAGCACTGGTTTCCACCTTTAATCCCATTTAAATTTGACTATTTTGTTCCACTGTTGTCAGTGCATTCCAACCACCTTGCAAGATGCCTTTGTGGGACTCCAGAGAGAATCCACCCAAAAAACTCCATTCATAACCCAAAAAATCTTGTGTGCTCTCGATCTATCATGATGGTAATAAAATCTACATACATCAGTGAACAATTCAAATTTAACTGCAAACAAATTGTCTGCTGTCATTACTCCATATTCCAAAATTATTTCACTTTGTTACCTGCACGAAGACTTCATTAATCTCTTCTCACCTCTCAAGAAAATTATCCCTTCTTGACAAACTGCAGTCATATTTGCTACACAAAAATATGTGGTGTACAGGATGCTGTAAGGGTGGTAAAGAGGCTTTATTAGTAAAATATAATTCCAATAATAATGAAATGATTGGATGAGTTGTTGACTTCTATTACTTAATTGAAACGATACTGACTTGGAGGTGTTCCATAATTCAGTCACAAAGAATTAAAAGTGCACTCTTCTCTTTTATTGGAGCCTTTGCTGTTATTTAATGGTATCTGCAGAACAAGCAGGGGCTGAAATTGCCTAAGAAATTTAAGAATATGATTATTTACTATGCAAGGGCTCATGATTATATTTTTCATTCTGCAGTCTTTTACCTTTTATGCATTTCCTACATTCCTTGACAATAAAAAAATAATTAATACAGATGGCACCTGGTATTTTTATAGTAACTTTTCTACTCGTTCTTTATTTTCTCCTCGTTTTCAATGATATTTTGCTGAACGTCTTTTCCAAGAATCCTATCAAACTGGCAAAAACTGTAAATAGCAATCAAAATGTTTAAAACAGAATTGTATTTGGAAGAGTATGCTGCAGTCTGCTACCAAGCATGTTAGGAGATGTTTATTTAGCCACAGACTGGCTAAAATCATGAAGCTGACCCTGTTTTTTTAGGTGTAATTTAGGTCAGAATATCAAAGCTAGTGGAGCAAAGTTGTATTTTCAGCACTTTTCCCAGTGTTGATTCTCTCCTAGATGTGTTCTGTGTGTTTCCTGAACCTCAATCCCGTCCTGCTGTACAATTTCATTACTCAAAAGCCACCAATAAAGCACAAATCCTGCTCCCAAAGAGGCACAAGGCCAGAAAAGCAGCAGCAAGATGAGCAGCCTGCAGAGGAACCCAGAACTGTGCATGTCACAGGAGACAGTGGCATGAGATGTGCAGGAGCACAAAAGGCACTTCAAGTCACGCCAAAAATGAAGAAAATAGATGGTATCAGTGGATTTGTGAATTAAGCACCTCCCAGTGAGTGACTAAGCCTCTCCTCTCATACTGGCTGTATCCTCAGGAAAACCTTTGTTCTGGTCCTTCTCCCACATCAGGGAGGAACTGCCACGCCACAGTGCTCCTCATCCCAAAACCTTTTTGCCAGGTTTAGTTCATGGAGTAAAATTGCAGCCTTAAAAATCCAGAGGAGAAAACACTCCTGGCATTAAACTCTGGCAGCACAAAGCATCCTTAAATCTAAACAACCCAAGCAGGAAAGCAAAAGTGGGTTATTCACTGCAGGCTTTTTTCTTGGAATAGAGTGCTTATCAAAAGGGGAATTTTCAGGGAAAGAGAGAAATTTTGACAGAAGTTTCAATCACATTAAACAGAAGTTTTCACCTCTCAGCTTTTCCTCCCGTATGAGAATAAAGCATAAAGAGTGTCAAAACTTTTTTTGAGTTGCAAAAATATACCGATTTTATACTTTAGATACATTTTTCAACTTTTCATTTAGAACACTTCTCATTTATAAGTATCTCGTTTTTTGTTGTTTTTGGTTTTAATCCTTTCTCTTCAATTTTTAAAGGAAACAGATTGACAAAGGATTAAATAACCCAACAAGCAAAACATTTAATTCCAGCTCAACTCAAAACACCTTCCTCCATTCCCCCTGTCTCTCCCCTTAACCGAGGGCTCCTTTTGGTTCGACTTGAACTTCGTTTCCGATTTTTCTTTTTCCCACCAAAAATGAGGAACCCCCCCCCCACCCCACCCCAGCATCCATCCAGCTCCACTAACAGAAAGGCCTCTTGCAGAGAAAAATGCATGAAGAGATGGGCTATGGAACTCTCACTACGACTACAGCCAGGCTGAGAGAAGCGGAGCTGGGGCCGAGCTCTACCGCCGCTGCCACCGCCGCGCCCGCTGCCGCAGCCGGCGCGCCGCCAGGCTGAGGGGCTGCTTCCCAAACTTCCTCATGATCTCCTTGATCCTGGCCAGGTTGGTCTTGGAGATGGTGAAGTCGCACTGGGTGGCCCCCATGTCGTAGCCCACCTCGCAGGTCTTGGTGGCGGCGGTGTAGCCCTCGGCCTTGACGCCCACCACGTACTCGCCCGGGTTGAGGAGGCGCCAGTAATCCCCGTCGGCTCCTGGTGGGGAGAAAGATGGTTTTCAGGATTTTGGTGCTTTCTCCTTGAGGAAAGTGGTGTTTGTAAAGCCACAGGATCGCTGAGCTTGGGAAACATCTCTAAGATCCTCAAGTCCAACCATCAACCATCTCCATCGTGTTCACCACCAAACCGTGTCCTCACGCGCCACATCCACAGATTTTTTTGGACACTTCCAAAGACAGGGACTCCACCACATCCCTGGGCAGCCTGCTCCAGTTCTTGAAAACCCTTCCCATGAAGAAATTTATCCTCACATCACATCAGAACCTTTCCTGGGTCCATTAAATGAGGACACAGAATCACACGGGGTAAGCTGACTTGGAAGGGACCCACAAGGAGCATCGAGTCCAGCTCCCAGCCCTGCATCGTCCCCAGGAGAAGTCCTTGGCCATGGTAAGATGGCACCACAGGTAGGACCCTCCATCCTCACACCAGGAGGGTGTCCAAGGGGCTGCCCCCACCACAAGTACCCCTCCTCATCCAGCCAACACTAGAGAAAAACACACCTCAATCAGATTTTCCAAATGATGAGAAAAGGCCCCAATCCAGCTGTAGATTTTCGGCAGCTGGAAAGGCCTGAGGCAAAATCTGGTGATTTCTGTGGGGTAGAAAAGACTTTTCCCAAACTAATCCTAAGTGAGGGATCCAGAGGAGCCCCAGTGGAATATCCACATCACACAACCCTGACCAGACTGTCAGGACACAGACTTTGGTGGTATTTATTAGGAAGAGTGTGTGAATACATAATATCAACTCACTTTGGGGTGTAAGTAAATATTCCCTTCTGTAAAGCCTTACATTGGCATTTATTACACCGATTTTCCTACAAAGTAAATTCACCAGGATGTTTAACCACCTGGTTAAATGTAAATGCACAAACCAAACTCCTGTAATCAACTAAACTACTCATGAAAGTGTATTTTAACACCTCATTGAATCAGGAGTTTTTGGTTTCTTCTTTTTCCCCATAAATGATCTCAGATATACCCATTCTATGTACCCATATGTGCATCAGAATCGTTTTAGGCTTCTTTTAACTATGATTTTAACCACCAAGTATTCTTAGCTGTGAATTGAAAAAGGGGAAAAACTATTACCTAAAATTAGTTTTGCACTCTGTCCTGGAGAAACTCCCTGTGAATGAAAATACATATTCAAATATGCAATTCCATGTAAAAATAGAAATGGAACATCTCCTGCATGAGGAGGGGTTGGGGTTTTTCAGCACTGATGAGACCTGACAGCCTTACTAACACCAGCCTTGGCTCACTGGCAGTGCAGAGTGTAGCAAAAACTGAAGATGATTTGCATAAAAATATTATATTTGGGGAAGGATCAGGCTGGTCGGCCTCTGTTTAAAAGAAACAGCGTTTTAATTTAGGGTTTGGTAAAATAAGAAATGTGCTTGCAAGCAGCAAGTGTTAACAAATGGCAATATTGACTGTGCCCTGATAGTGCAGCCTCTGTGTGTCAGAACTGTACCTGATCAGGTCCATTCTTACAGCCCAATACAATCAGGGGTTTTTAAAATCAATTTGACCACATTTGGGGTGATAATAAAGTCCAAATTTTCTGTTTCTCATGATTTGGGTGTTTTTGGAAAGGCTCCAAGAGAGGCTTTTTATTCAGTTCTCCCTCACCACTGGGTCTGTTGGAAGCTGAACAAAAGGCCAAACCATAAATCTGCCCAAATTCCTCCTATTTATCCCCAAGGGCTCGTTTTTAGCTGTAAATGCTCTGGCAACACCACAGGGCAGGCAAAGAGCTCTGCATCCCCCCGTGTGATCACATCCCTGCTCCCAGGCTGGCTTTAGCCCCAGGACTGCAAACCTGACCCACATTTTCCTGACACATTTAACAGTCAGTTCATCACAACCCCACACAGGGCCAGGAATAAACCTACACATTCACACCCCACTGGGAATTTATTGCAAAGCTGGGTATTAAGCCTTCAGCAGGATGCACTTTCCCTCTTTTCCATTTACAAGCAAGCAGACAGGAGTATTTCTGTCAGCTGTCAGTGTCCAGAATTTAATACCAGGCTAAAGGGTTGGGGTTTTTTCACAATCAGATTAAATCCAGTAGGTAAAAAAATAAATAAAAATATAAATTTCAGAACAAATGGCAAAAAGAAACACAATTAAAAACACAGATAAATTTAGTAAATAATAGGTTTGCTGAAATAATAGGTTCCAGTGGGAGCAGGCTGGAGGCAGACTGCATCCACATCCACCTACTGGGGCTGGGAAAGGATTGCCATGTCTGCTTAGATAAAATAACAATGCATTAAAGGACAAAGATAGCAGTGCTATGAATTTAATATGTCAAATTGCTCCATTAATTCTACAATTAAGAGAAATGTCCTTTGAGCCTGATGGGACAGACCTTAGTTACAATTAAGTAATTGTAAAAAGCAATTTTTACATTTAAATGTACAAAGCTGCACTGATTTAAATATATTATAAAAATCTTTCTAATGTTTTTTTACCAACAAAAGACTCTCCAGGAAACCTGGCCATAGTGGTGTACACCCAGCTTAACTTTCCTGTGTGGACCAGGCAGCCAGGAGTGAGGCAGAATAGTTGCAATACCAGACTTATGCTTAGCTTAGACTAATTAAATAAATATTTGATATATAAAAATATTTAATATAATAAATATTACTGAATGCTACTTCAAAATCCTTGGGGTTTGGTATATAAGGTATGCTGAAATCACAGCACACTTGCCAAAATATTTGTAAAAATTTCTCTGGACACGTGGTGAAATTAAATTAATTATGCTTTGGTTCAAAAACCACACAAACGTCTGCATTGGAAGTCTGGCTGTGACACAGGAGTGTTTCACCAGGAAGAAACTGCACATTTGTCCATCAATATTTACTTTGTCATTTCCCAAATCACGAGAAGCAACCCCCAAAACTGCCTTGGCACCACGGGAGTGGGGAAAAGGTGCGTTTGTTCACCCATCTGAACTCTCTTTCCAGAGGTTTTCTCAGAGAGTCCAGCCCATATCTGACTGTAACGACATGGAATCACTCAGACTTAATCAATAGTTACATCTGCATGGAGGGAAAATGGAATAATTTCCCACAAAGCTCTTGCTCTTGGAATCAATGCCTTCAATCAGCCCATTAACGGTGTGAGCCGAACGCCAGCATCCCGCTCGCTCCATCAGGGACACGGCATCCAGCAGAAACTCAAACCAATGTGCTTTTATTTCAGTCCACAGGAGGAAGCAAAGGAATTTTCTCAAACCTTTAAATGTTATTAGAGGGCTTTTACAGGCAACTTTTGTCTGGCTCTACAGGGCAGCTGACCACGTTAATGTAGGAGTGGAACAGCAGAGCTCAGCTCACTTGAAACAAAACTTATGTGAATAGAGATGGTGGCCATAATTCTTCTCCTGCTTGGCCTATTTTTACATCAAGGCAACTCAGAGGTTTAAATAGACACATTTTTCATTTTAAAAGGTATAAATGAAAGAAGACTGCTGACAATTTGCCTTCTCTCTCTAGAGTTATACATGTCATTTTAGCTTTTTGGCTCCAGTATAAATCCTCTCGTTTCAGGGACTAATGAGACGTGTATTGTTATCTGGATAATATGAAACAAGATAGAACTTTTATGTTCCCATATCCACAGTGATTCCAGAGTGTGAGCTTAAATGTCTCATTAAAAAGAAAAATTAAAGGGAATAAAATAAGTACTTTTATTTTTACTAACAAGTGCAGATGGCCTTGAGCCATAGAGGCTCAGCAATAATTCAAGATGCAAATAGCTGCAAGGTTCCCTGAGTGTTACAAGGTGGATTTTGGGATCTTGCACATTTATTCAACCTTATTTTTTTTTCACATGACAATCCAGAGTACAGAGAGCTGGAGATTAATCACATATTACATTAACTCAGAGCGATACATTAATTTTGTTAACAGAGTGATGCAACCCACACTTTATGGCAGACTTTCAGAACTGCCAAGGCTTCCAAGAGGAGAAAAACCAGCTGATTACTTTAATTCCCACTGTCATTTCCCAGTGGTCCCATTTTGAAATATTTAAGGCAGAATCATTATTGCCTAATTAAGTATCTGTCATTCAATGCTTTCTTTTACAGTGGAGACACAGCAGCAGTGAAATTAATCATAAACTAAGTTAGATATTCCAAAATTCATTACTGGCTCAGATCACCTCTTGTGGCAAACATTAAAGATTTGGAAATCACAAAGCTCTATGATATTCCATGGCCTGAAATCAGTTTATGTGTCCAAATCTGCCACTCTGCACCTCAGTGGCAAAGCACATGGAAGCGGCAGCAAATGAAGAACGCAGAACACCAGTAAAGAGATAAAAACACATAAAATTAGCATTCAAAAAACCTGTGGGTGTGGTACTTAGGAACACGGTTCAGTGGGTTTGTTTTTAAACCACAAGTCTGTTCTTTTGCACTGATGTTTTGTATTTTTATTGGTTTTGTTTTTTTTACCTGTGCGAATGTCATGGTTAACACCTTCCACTGAAATAACAGCATTTGGGATTCCCTTTCCATGCACATCTTTCACAATCCCTTTGATGCCACGATGGACCTGTGAAGAGAAGCAAAAAAGCAAGTAAATATTGCACAGAAATGAACAGTAGTATTCCTAGGAACTTACAATGAATCATTATTTCCATAAGTGAATTACAGTTTTATGCTATATATAGTTTTATATATATATATATGTATATTATATTTATATATTATTTATATATATATTTAAATATATATGGTTTATATTTTTATACTATATATAGTCTATATTTATACTATATATATTCTATAGTTTTATACTATATATATTCTACTTTATGGCTCACAACATTGTGGAATATATATTAACCCTGCAACAGCCCTTCAGGCATTAACCTGTGCATCAGTTTGTGAATTTTGTTAGGATTCCTGAGGCATCAAATTCAAGATATAGATAAAAAGAAGAGATGAAACAACAGACACAATATTGGGGTCTTTTTTTTTTTTCCTAGCAAGCTCAGCACCCACATCAAATTTTCAGAAGCTTCATTATTTTATTCCCTGAAGTCAAACCAGCCTGGCTGAAGTGTTATGTCTATCAAAAATCCCAATAACCACGTAATCAGCCATGCAAGGAAGACAGTAAGAATTTTAATCTCTGGGTCTGGAAGGAGCTGCACTGCTGGTGAATACCTGTTCCATAAAAACAATCAGGGACTCGCGGTTGTTTTCCCACTCCTCTGGCAGCTCGCTCTCGTGGGGATATTTGTCACAGCCAACGTAGATGGAGAGCTCAAAGCAGTTGGTGTGCAGGTAGCTGAAGTCATTGATGCCTGTCAGTAGTGGGGAAAAAGGTTACAACTTTATATCCTTTTGAATCTATTGGTCAGCACTGAGCCTTTGTGGAAATTAATGTGACTTCTATAAACACAAGTTGGGTATGCATCCTGCTGGCTTAGCTGGCAGAATTGGAAGGGTAAAGTGTTTTTAGAAATGCCAAATGTTCTGTAACGAAGCGCCAGAGTGCTCGAGGCCAGGTTGGACAGGGCTTGGAGCAACCTGGGATAGTGAAAAGTTGTTCCAAGCAGAGGCTGGAACTCGAAGGGCTTTAAGGTCCCTTCCAACCCAAACCCTTCTGGGATTCTGATGAAGGAGAGGATGGGGACACAACCAGGAGGGGAAAGGTCTCTCCCCACAACAAGAATTTGTGTTTTGCTCTTAAGAAAACACTAAGCATCCCTAATCCTGGACACTGTCCATGGAGCAGCTCTCCCTTATGAGTGCCCTGGGTAGAAATGGAACTGTGTTGTGTGGCAGGGAGGTGCAGCTGTTCACCCAAGCGATGGAGCCCTGAATGCCAGGACACAGAGCTGTGTGCTCACAGGGGTTGTTATGTAAAAGTGATTTATCAGAGCAGTTGGTGAAATAGTTCCTCAGTCTGTTTTCCTCCCTGAGTAATCTAACTGAGAGAAGAGCCAGGAAAATAGAGCTAGTAACAATTATTTTATGTGGTGTCTGTGGTTTTGAAGAAATGATGCGATCTCTTTTCTCCCTATCAGGGTGTTGCAGAAGACTGGGATACTCTGCAATAGGGATTCCCATCACAAGAATGACATAATCAAGCCCCAGGAACCTCAGTGCCTCCAGTCTATGAGGAGCTGCAGTTTAATTCTGCTTTACAGAGACCACTGTAACCTTTGCAAAGGTCTGGAGCACTAAGCAGGACTGTCTTTACATGCAGAGCTACAACATTTCCATCCTCCAGGTTTCTCTCCTGCTTCTCACCGTTTTCCCTGCTTATTAGCTCTCCACTCTCACACAGATAACGAGATACAGAACATGAGCACTAGAGGAAGAAATGCTGTGAGTTTCATTTCATGTTCTACCTGCATTTCTAATAAGAAAATATTTTAAAATATGTTTGTAAATGATGTTTATTGTTGTGTTTTAAATGGCAAAGATTAGCAGGAGTTGCATTCACCGAGTGCTTCTGACCAAGAAGAGTTAAACCAAAATCTCTGTTCCCATCCAATCACCACAGAGCAGTAGTCAAGTATTTAATGAGCCCTCAGTGCCTTCTGGAAGCAGAGCAGGAGGATTATATAATACAGATGTTAAACTTTTCACTTTTGTTGAAGGGGAAAACCTAAACATCAGCCAGTGGCATATGCTACTCTGCATAAATGTGCTTCCCCTCCACTTGAGAAACAGCCACAATTATTTTCCCCTCACATACTGTATAACATCCTGATTAATCTGCTGTGAAATGTTTTGCCATACACAGTAATTGCTCAGTTTTAATACATGTATTTAAGAAAATGGCTTTGCGTTGCCAAGAGCGACTCTTTCCCAGTGCCTGAACATGCAAATCCAGCCTCAAAAACACAGGAAATAAAATTAAATCAATCTCTGTTTTGCCTCTGTGCAGTTCACCCAGTGCAGAAACTTTATATGTAAAATTGCTGAAGAACTTGCATTCAGTGCAGTCAAAATAATGTGCAGGAAATGTCACGGCTGGGTTTTAAAGGCACGAGAGGTGTTGGATATCTGTGGTGCCCATGCTTCTCTAGGGACTGAAATTCAATTGGAAAAATCCCATCTAAATTTTCCCAGTGAGAAGTTTCTGGGCAGGACCACTGCAAGGAATGAGGTGGATGAGGAGAGGGGGGACAGGCAGTTTCAAAGCGTGGCACAATGAGGAGATGCCACCACACAAAAGGATGGGTGGGAGAGCTCCTGCAAGCACTTTGTTGGAGGTCTTACCATAATGTGACAGAGCAAGACATAAATCATAATTAAAACATCATCAAGAAATAAAACAAATCAGATTAAACAAATCCAAAATGTTATTGATCCTAAGAAGTCAGGGTAATATTCAGCATCGATATTGTCCATCTTTACTTAACAGAACTCAGTGTGACAGCTGATAGTGACAAGGCCAATGCCATCTTTTCTGGATCAGTTCATAATGATGTTTCTTGTAGCACTTAGGAAAATTAAATTCATAAATTAGATAATTAAGTGGTCAAGTTAGCTGTCAGAGAACCCTTTAGAAATGCACAGGAATGTACTGTCAGACCTAAGAGTTCAAAGTTTCCCCCCAGATTCACCCAAAACTTTTTAACCTCCTGAGAAAATACCCGAAAAGCTAATTCTCGACTGCAGCCTTTAAAGGCTGGCCAGCACCAACTCCACACGGACCAACATAAAAGCCACGTCCAAAATCCGAATACATTTATGCAGTGGAAGTACCTGCAAGTTCCAAACAGGAGCCAGACTCAGCTAAACCTGGTTTTCAGAGACACTGGCCTGCAGCTGTTTGCCATTAGTGCTGTTCCTGTTGTCAGCCCACTGGTGGCAGACGCCTGTCTCATTTCCTAATTTCAGGGAATACGTTGTTTGACTGATGCACTTAGGAAAAACACAAAGGCTTTGAGCAGAACTGTGATGAATCAGCAGTGTCTGATTCCCAGCCTGCTCTGAGTGCACACCCAGAGAGGCAAACGTGCCTAATGCTGTTAAAAATGAGTTTCTAATTGGGCTTTCCTGGAAATCGAGGTTTTGGCCACGCCACAGGCCATGGCTTCCCCTCTGTGCTCCTTAATAGGGTGACAGGCTTGGGTGTGTGGAGATTGATCCAGGCTGGGATTTATCCTGGCAGCAGGAATGCCTGTGGAGCCCATGCAAAACTCAAGTGTAAGGACATCCAGGTGTTTTAGAAATAGCATGGTAGCAGGCAAACAGTAGCTTTTTATGGCATTTCATTACAATTCTGAGTGAATGTGAGTGGGGGCTGATCTGAGGCTGAGTTCAATCAGCAGGAGGCTGAAACCAGGACTTCCTTATCTCAGAGCCACCGGGGTCTCTCCCTGAAGCTGCTGTTTCAGCTCTGACGCTGGCTGTGGCACTTGGCAGCACTTTTCCCCTTGCCACCTTCTGTGGGGGTTTGGGCTGGCTCGGTTCCTTCCTGACAAACTGTGCTGGGTGCACAGACTTCTTAAAGCTAATGTTGTGCATGTGCATTTTTGGAGAACAGCAGTAATGACATCTGGAAATATTCCCCTTAGAGCACACGTTTTACCACCTCCTGCTGCTGCAGCGCACACCAGGCAGTGACGGCTTTACCCTAATTAGCGAGGCAACACTAATTGGAGTTTCTACCACTTACTTCCAGCCACGGTGTGCCACGAGGCTCCGTTCACAGTGCCATCCTCCTTCTGGAAGTCCTCAGTGTGGCAGGCTCTCCTCCTGGCATCCGTCATCAGCCGGTGCGTGGAGGCGTAGGAATAGGCCAGCCAGCGGAACACGTGGTCGTCGGGGGTGGGCGTGTAATCCTGCGTTTTCCACATGGATCTCACCATGTCGTAGGGATAGGCCACCACCAGCTCTCCCCCCTGCAAGTTGCCACCCAGCACAAAAGGGATTTTTTCCATCCAGGCGATGATCGCCCGCGTCTCCACCGCCACCTGGGAGAAAGAGTAACAGCAGCTCGGATTCAGGCTGGAAATCTGGAAATGCTGTTCCCTGAGGGGTTCCTGAGCATCAGGAGCCAGCAGAAGGCATGCTGGCAAGGAGAAGACCTTCTTTAAATTATGGTGCTTGTCAGCCACCCTTGGGAGGTCACAGAAATCCCTTAAGACCTAACAAAACCTTCACGTTCCTTCAGTAATTTATGGAATAGGAACATCTATGTCGAGTGAGGCCAAGAGCAGGAACTGACAGAGGTGTCAGGTGGTGACATTGCCGCCCCTCTTTTTGTTTCCAAAATGAGGGATGTTAAACATAGAAATAATGGCCAGAAATTAAAACACAGGAAGTTTCACCTCAACATTAGGATGAATTTTTCCATGAGGGTGGCAGAGGAGGGAGGGAAGCCATGGAGTCCCCCTCTCTGGAAAGATTCCAAACCCACCTGGACGTGTTCCAGTGTCACCTGCTCCAGGTGACCCTGCCTTGGCAGGGGGTTGGACTGTAGGAAGCCTCTTTAAACTGTGACTATTCCATGATTGTGTGATTCTAAAGTACTAAAAACTGCCACTTGTGAAGCCTGTGAAGCTGTTATTAATAGCTGCCATTATATTTAAAATGTCAGGCCAAAATAAGTTAAATTTCTGGCACTACGATCCAATAAATGACTTTAACATAAGCCCCAACACTGGGTTTGCATGTGCCTGATCTGTTGCTGTGTTGTTTGAGATGAGAATATATTTCAAGTAAGAGCAAGCAGGAAAATCCCAGGACAAATCTGTGAGTGAGTTTTTTAAAGATCTGTGCCACAAAACTCTGGAAAAGCCTGATCCACATGGCTGAGCTTATGCTGTGCTTCTCCTTGTCTACCTTGCTGTGTAAAAGTTGGGTATTGAGTCCTCCAGGTCCTTGCAAATGCTGAGGGAAAAGAAAATCCTCCAGGAAATAGTTCCTTTCTCAAGACCTGCCTCTAAAACCCGGGTGGGGATGGTCCTTTTGTGGTGAGTTTTTATTTCCACTGACTGAAAGGGAATTATTGACCTAGATCAGGTGTGGGACTTCACTCCCAGGTTATTCAGTTCTTGAGAAATGTAAATCTCACTCTCTCAGCACATCCCAGCCTTTGTGTCCCCTCTCCTGGCCTTACTCACAGTGGCATTTTCGGACAGGTACCAGTCAGGGATTGGGATGTGATGGTTTGGAACTTTTCTTTTACTCTTCTTCTGATCTTCTGACTCCCAGAGCAGCGAGTTTAAGTCAGGGAAGTTATTGTTGATGTCAATGCCATCCTGAGTCCATCGTCCTAAAGACCAGCCCCCCAATTCTGAACCCTTAGATTGAAAAAAAAAAAAAAAAAAAGAAAAAGAAAGAAAATAAAAATTAATGTTCATTCAGAATACGACAACCTGTGAGCCCCCTGCAGAATGTTTGGGAATGTGCCAGAGGTAATTCTATACAGAGAAAGTAAAGATTAATTATTTATTAACTGAATTAAATAATTGGTGCTTTTTTAAAAATTTTGTATGAAATCTTGAATGAGGTGAAGGAAAATCCATGAAAATTTACTTGAGGTTTTCCAAAATATACCTCTCAATGGAGACAGCACACATTCCCTCCCTTGACTATGATTCTGCCTTTCCTGTTCTGTTCTGTCTTCTGCAGACTGCTCTAGAAGATTTTCCAGTGCATTTGACCAGCCCCTGCAATTTTTCCTGGTTGTCTGTCTTCACCCAGACTGAATTATTACAACACCCAACAGACTGTGCTCTCCTTAAAGGCAAACTATTAAATTTCAGCTGCGGAGGAATGCGAATTTTCACGTGCTGAGCTTGGTTTCTCGTGAGAAACAGACTGCATGGATTTTCTGTTTTCCATAATGGTGTTCCCGTGGCTCTGAACACCTGAGGATGGTTTGTTCTGGCAGTCTCTGTGACCCTCCTTTCCATGTACATTCCCCTGCTAGCCAACATCACATCCAATACTGATCCTTTCAGCTTTTTCCCAAGATGGTTTGTGTTTACTCTGACGCGCCCATCTTTTCCTATTTAAATTTCCACCGCTTGTAAAACGTGACCCCTGAAGAAAATAATGACAAGAGGAGCATTTTTGGTTCATCTACCGGAAAGGGAAAGAATTCCTTGATGTGTTCATGATCCTAATTACCGCTTTATAGGCCTTGTCATATCCGTCAGGGTTCACTGAGGGCAGCAGGTGGATCCTCGTGTCCTGGATGAGGTGCACGATGCGTGGGTTCCCAGCCAGGTATTCCTGGCACATGAACTGCATTAGCAGAAGGATCAGCTCTCGTCCCAGCACTTCATTCCCGTGAGCTCCTGCAATGTAGTGGAATTCTGGCTCCCCTGTGGGAAAAAGCACGGAGCAGAGTTGTAGTCAGAGCAGCAAATCAAATCAAATCAAATCAAACAGCATCGCTGTCCATCAGCAGCGTTTCACTTAAGGAGTGTTGGAGAAATGTCTCAGCTGCACAGATGAGAGGTGAAAGTGTCACCTTGGAGAAATAAATTGCTTTCTGTTGCTATTTTAGAACAGGCTTATGTATTAGTGATACCTAAAGCCACTGTGTAAAACCTCTAAAACCCATTTTTGATTAAACATATCCTTAATTATACTCACAAGTTCAGCATGTTAGAGGTAGATTTTGACAGTTTTGAAGGTCTAAAAGTCACACGAAAAATACTTTACTAGAAGAGAACTTTCCTAACAACCAATCTAAACACATTATCGGGGTATTCATGGATATAGCAAAGCACAAAATTCCTTTATTCCAACAGTCCCAGGCACTATTACAGTGAGAAGGACCAAAGACTGAATGACTTTCTGTGCTGAACAGTTATATCATGGTAGGAAATTGAACCCCAGACCTCAAAATTATTTGGAGATTTGACCTGTCCCTGCTTGCAATGCATTCACCCCACATAAAAAAGGTAAATTTCTATCCATAGCTACACCAATCCAATGGCTAAAATCCACCCTCCAGTATTAAAATTCACTTTTATTTTATTACTGTGAAGAATGCTCATTAAAGAATTCAATCCCACATTCAAAATGTCCTCTATCTGTGCTCACCCTCCTCTTCCCAATTTAGAAATACAGCGCTGAGGTTCCTCCCACATACATTTGAAACCTTTGCTGCCATGAAGATAATTCCATCAGTGATAATTAGTGCAGATACAGAGAAAGAGGAGGGGGGGAAAAGCAAAATCCCAACACCCCTTCAACAGATTTAGGCAAGATTAAAATCCTAACCAACTTCGTGTTCTCCTGGGTTGTCAGAAATCTCAACAGCGTACAGCTTCAGCCCTTGGTTGCTTTTCCCAATATTGTAAATTCTTGTGATATTTGGGCACATTTTATTCACAGTTTTCATCAGCTGCCAACAAAAAGAAAAAAAGAGGGAAAAAAAAAAAGAACATATTTAGACAATGCAGCATCGAAATAGATCCGCTATAAATTGGTTCATTTTAAATTGGTTGTAGCACAAACTCTTCATTTGCTTCTCTGATTACTTCTTAGCTGTAAAAACTTTATGTTTAGCTCATGAATTTATATCTCTGCTATCTCATTTTTAAAGCATTATGCCATGGAGAGTAATTAAAATAATGGAGAGTAATTAAAACAATCACACTCTCTGAGGTACTATAGGTAAGGGACTTGAGGTGACCCAGGGTGCCAGTGCACAGAAATGCATTTATTTTTCAGGTTGCCACATTTTCCCCAATAGAAATATTAATGTTTTCACTCTACCAGAGAGAGAGATATTGCATTAAAAGCAGTTCTATTTTAGCTAAAGGCTAAAACCTTACTGCATAAATGATGTTACTGACTCAGACCTGTGTTTGCTAATTTCTCTCCTCACACCTTCCTCAAGTTGAAGGAAACTGAGCTGGCTGATGTTTCCCTGCATCCATGCAGCTCCACGAGCTGAGAAATAGGAGATGTGAGCCTCTGAAACCCAGCAGAGAAACTTCTGACTCTGAAACTTCCACGTGCAGAAGCTTTCCCGACGTGCCTGGCATGTATCTCACAGGATAGCAGGAACATCAATTTGGAAAAGTGGTTGAAAGTATGGAAATGCTCATTAATAGTGAGAAAAATGCCCACAGAACCAAGTTCAAAGTATATTACATTCAGTGGAAATATTTGTATTGGCCTCAGTAAACTCCCCATCATCTCTTTAATTGCAAACATGTGATTATTTTCAGAGTCAAAGAACTTTTCCTGCATTAGAGCCTTTGTAGTAACATTTACTGTGACTCTTTTGGTGAAATGTAATGCAATGGAGTTAATGGAAATACCATGCTGAAAATGAACACATTTCATTTTTGATCTTCTCATTCCCATGTCCCACAAATGGCAAAATATTTCACCTATGATCTGGGTTTGTTGTCTCAAAGACAAGGTTGTACCCAAATATCCACATCAAACATGTAACAGGTTCCTGTACCACATGAATACATATAAAAATATACACAGAAATGAACACATAATAAATATTTTGGGCTGTAAAACAATCCTGCACACAAGATACATCGAGTGTTCCCATTGATTGGAAGAAGAATATTGAATGCTCTTTTACAAGGAGAAATCTGGAGCTGTAAATTTCATCTTCCTAAACAGAGAATTCTATTTATTAAAATATCCCTCCCTCTCACAAATCCATGACTTTTTGCAATGTAATGTAATGCTTCCACAACATGGCCCAGAGAACCATCTCCTCCTCCTTCAGTGGTGATAATAAATCACTTCAAAAAAAACATTTTCTAAGATGTTTGGTGGTGAGGTAGCTATGAAAAGTGACAATAATGTATATTTTGGGGGTTGGGGATGTTTTTGGTTGTTGTTGCTTGTTTGTTTTTAATAAAATATTGACTCTGGCAGTTATTATTCTATTTTGCACTGAAATTTTGAGAACAGTTTTGGGACTATAACACTTGTTGCAATGCAACCCACAATATTCTGCCCACCAGCAATTAAAATCCAATCAGCTCTAAAAAAGTTAACTATTTTTACACAGAAGAAAACAGAAACTGGGAGAGCACACAGTTCACAATTCTCAACCACAGTCACAGATTTTCTATTGGTATGAAGAGAGCAAGAACATTCTGGTTTAAAGCTGTGGGGTTTTTTTTCCCCCAAGATATTTCTAACCTGACCAACCTGTCTTTCTGCAATGACAACATAGATACATTTTATTTTATTGTTCTTGACAGTAATTATGCCAATTGAGTTCCTACTCATCTAATCTTTGAGCTAAGAAATATAGGCCATGAAATCTCTACCAAAATAAACGTGTGACTCAGTACACAATTGCTCAATAAAACCCAGTGGTGATTCATGCAGTATAAATACACTGAAAATCCAGCACACAGCAAGTGATTCACACACATCAAGTCCAAACATATTATCTTTATATTTGAAGAGAAAGTGGGCAGAAATATTTCTTCAGGACAACCCACACTTGTGTCTGTGGTGATATGAAGCAAGATTAAAAACAATAACAAAGCCAAGAACAAGGCTGCCTGCTTGGAGCTAAAGGAACAAGATTAACAAGGCTGGTAGATTTAAAATTATACTAAATGAGGGTTTTTTTCTGCTGTTTCTGGTGAATTTTTGCTGATTTTCACAACTGTGAATATGGAATTGGACTCTAGATTTATTCTGATTATCCAAACCCACTGAAATATATGAGAAAACTGATGGTTAAATCAGAGTCAATTCTAGAAGGAGAAACCACAGTGACATTCACCACTTAAATATAATGGAAGAAAAAGTGCAGCACATTATATGAAAATACTTCCTCTGTCACGAATTGTCACCTTTTTCAGGTTAGTTTATGTACAAATCAAGACTTTGGGAATTTTATTGGACTGCTTCTTTTAATAGATTGAATCGGGGAAAACATTTTAAAAACATATTGAAGACAGAGTTGAATAATATTTTGAAGAGGTGGAATTAGGGCTGAAAAAGCCTTCACCCATCCACCCTCCATCACACAGCAGCCTCTTTGCCTACCTGCCTCATCTCCTTGTAGTTGTGATGTTTAAAGTCCAGATTATCAGTGGTTGTCATTTCATTTCTTCTGTGGTAATAATTGTTTGGGTCTGAGAAAAGAAATAAAAGAGTTTTCAGGTGCTTGGGAATTTCAAATATAGAGGTGCTTTGACACAATGCACGTAAGGAACATGGAAATCCGAATTCCACTGTCATGTGTGAACTTAAACCAGGTTTTCAATAGCAAAACTCAGAGAAACAACTGATTTTAAACATTTCTAATCACTGCACAAATCAGTTCATGCAGATCCAAACAAAAGCAAGGAGGCATCAGCTTTCCAGACAGCTCCTCTGCACAAAACCCCAAAACTTCAACAGAAAAGCAGAAGGGCAGCCTTAGGCTGCAGAGGAGAGAAAAAGTCATTGGGAAATGATGAGTCAGATGCAAGATAAAAGAGTGGAAGAAAAATCAAATTAGAGGAAAAAGCCACAGTAAATGTTTTGTGTCCACTTGATTAATTTACTATTGCAAGGACTTTTAGTTTTCCTGATGAGTATTTTCCAAGTCTATGCACTGCTTGCAAAATATGGAAAGGAATAACTGTGCACATTAACCATTCCTAATGATCTTCCAGAAGAGTTCCTGTGGAATTCAGAGTGTTTGTTACTTAAAAATGTACATATTCACTTATTTATGGATACTGTTTATAGTTTGTTCATTTTGAAGTATCAAAGGAGGTTATGTGGTTGGGAAAGAATCTTTTGTCTCCTTGACATTCCAGGCTCCTCACCTGGAAAAAAAACCAACAAAAACAAACAGGCCAAAACTGTTCAAAAGGCTCAGTTTTGAACTTCCTGATAAATGAGCTCCAAGCCTAATCTATTATGATTTATTTTCAGAGACAAACAAGTCAATTTGGAAAACATCAGACACATTCCTTAACTTGCCACATCTGGGATGTCTGGAATTTTGAGTAATCATTTGTCAAGCCAGGGGTTGTCAGGCTTCTATGAAAAATTGTTTCCCTTCACACAAAATCATTTTCACCGGTTTAAAATTATTGGGGGAAAAGCAAAATATGAAAAACTCTAAATATCATCCTGTCTTATTGCAACACAAAGAAAGACATTGTCTCCAGAGAAAAAAGAAATGGTTTTAAACAGTATCACCTGTCAGCTCTGACTTTTCTTGGGGGGGAAAAAGAATAATTCTGAGTAGGAAAAACATGTAGTTACCACCCCACGGCAACAAATCATTAATGAAGTTATCAAAAACTCAAAACACTGCAAAATACTTTATAACATTTTAAAATTTCATATTTCTGGCATTAAAACCACTAAACATTCCCATAAAATTTTAAAATTCTGGGGGTCTTTTGCAGTGTTTAAGTTATTTATGAAATGAAACATGCATGTTCCATTAAGCTTCACAGTAACATGACCCATCCTTGTCTCCACTTCCATTTCCTAATCTACAGCAGAGATGCTGGAAGGTCAGTTGAAGGCTGCTCTACAAATATGACTGAAAAATGTCCAAAAAAAGCCTTGTTTCATCAAAACCCATGTTTTGTAGAAATTACTCATTAATATACTGATGGATAAGAAATGGAAATCAGAAAAAAACACTTCTTAAAAGAGACAATGTGTTTAATGTCCCACAGAACATCTTTATAATTGAAAAAACTATCCCCACGTTGTAAAAATGTAAAAATAAACATCATAAAACTGCCAGGATGTTGGAGGTTTTCTGTATCACCACGAGCCAAAATATACAGCAACCGATTTTTTCCCCTGATACTTTAATCCCCTTCCTTTCAAAGCCTGGCTCTTTTTCCATACATCAAACACTAATATCATGGGAATGGCTGTGAATGCTGTAGAGTTGGTGGAAACTTTTAAAAAAAAATAAAAATTGTGCAGTGAGAATGATTGTATCTCTGGCCCTCCCTCAACAACAGAGCTCAATTTGACAGTTCCCTAGGGAATTAACACTCATACTCTGCCAGGCTCTGCTGTAGCCTGCTTGGATCACTAGATTTCTGCTGCAGCAGGAATACAGATTAGAACATTAAAAGCTAAAATGTAGAAAGGCAAACAAGACTTGTGCACAGCTGGATGGGTCCACTTGGGCAAAAATTAATTTTTTTTAATAAAACGGAAAATAAGAGACTGAGAAACTCAAACAACGTAAGAGTTATAATGGAAATATACTGATTTAGTCACAGAAATTCTGGAGAAAGTCTCTCTTTCTTCCAAGGAGAAAAGATCCTGCAAAACTGTGGCACTCACATTTTTACAGAGGGATATATTAGCTTTTTCTGCCACTAATCTGTCTTTACATCACCAGTAGAGGTAATGAAGTTCGCTGGTAGAGGCACCTTGATGCCTTCATGCTTCCATCCTTTGTAAAGATGGATGAGTGACTGAAGCTGTTAAATCAGATTCACAGGGCCACAGAATGGTTTGAAAGGGACCTTAAAGATCATCCCATCCCACCCCAGCCACGGCAGGGACACCTTCCCCTGTCCCAGCTGCTCCAGCCCCAATGTCCAGCCTGGCCTTGGGCACTGCCAGGGATCCAGGGGCAGCCCCAGCTGCTCTGGGCACCTGTGCCAGGGCCTGCCCACCCTGCCAGGAACAATTCCTGCCAAATATCAAATCTAAATCAATCCTCATTCAGCTTAAAGCCATTCCCCCCTCTCCTCCCAGCTCCTTATAAATTGTCTCTTTCCATTTTTCCTGTAGGTTCCCTTCAGGTCCTGGAAGACCACAATGACATCACCCCAAAGCTTCTCCTCTCCAGGCTGGACAATCCCAGTTCTCCCAGCCTTTCCTCACAGCAGAGCTGCTCCATCCCTCTGACCATCTCTGAGGCTTCTTCTGGATTTTCTCCAACAGCTCCATGTCCTTCCTGTGCTGGGGACACCCAAACTTCAAGTGGGTCAATGCCCAATGACTCCACAGCATGAGGGCTCTGAAAACTGCCCCTAGAAAGCACCAGAAAGGACCAATTGTTTGGTTGATTAAAAAAAAGGGCATTTTCACCAATTACAGCCCTACAGCCAGTGGAGCCCCAATGCTTCCAGGAGGTTTCAGCTTCTCAGAAGTGGTGGTTCAAATGTAGGGCACAATGAAGGCAATCCAAGGGATCTGGAGACGTTTTTGATAAAAAGAATATTCTGGTCTAAATCTTTCAGACTGCCTTAAAAACCCCAAAGGGCAGTTTCTCAAATGACTGATTTTTTTTTTTTTTAATTTCCGCATAATTTAAGTGAATTTGACTTGTCTTCACTAAATTGAACATCTTACAGACAGCACATGTGTAATCTTGAAATAAATCCACTGGCAGCCACATCAGGTGATCCTAAGTTTTTTTCCACATGATCTATTTCATGGCATTGCTCATGAGCATTAACATCACACACGAAACCAGCAATGAAATAATATTTTTCAACTAGAAACTGATCCTTTTCTCCTCTTACTCTCAGAAGTAGATGCTGGTTTTAGAACTGCTGCTTACATGACCATTTATAATGAAAGCTACTTGTAGAAAGTCACATTTTTATCAAGAAATGAACACAACTCTAGACTTGACCAGGTAACCTGGCACTAAGAGAGAAGTATAAAAATAAGACTGAAGCCACTGCAAAACACAGTGCTCCATTACAGAGCTGTTAAAGTTCATTTTTTTTCTTGGGTTCAAAGTAATGGCATAATCATGGTACCAGTGGTATTTTTCTATATAAGAACTATTAAAAATTAAATTTCATCACAAATTTATTCCATTAAAATAATTGCCTCTTGCCTTGAATACCCTACAATATAAATAAATGCATGAAGAACTCAAACTAATTTTCGCTCTCCAATCTCTGGGTGCTTTGATCACATGCAATTCCATTTTGACCTTCCTTAGGTTTGAGAAAGAGAAAGCCAGGAAAGCACATCCATCCCTCTGAGGCAATTGCAAAAGACTGTGTGTGTCACTCTCCCTGTATGTAAATACCAGCATTTTTGGAAAGTGGAGAGGGAATTAAATGCTTGTGGTTTTTGTCCTCTTTTTGCCCTCTTTTTTCAGACATTGCAGCACTGATTGTTGCTATAGGTAGGATTTTCTGGCATCTTTCCTCCACGGATAAATGTCTTTCTTTGGTGAAACAGCACATCCCTTCTGTTGCCCAAAGATAGAACTGACATAGTTGGACAGCACAGCTTTTATTATTTTTTTATTTTTTTTATTTTTCTTTTTTAGAGCTACTCTTAACAGTCTAGAAAAGATTATTTGTCCAAACTAGCCTAAAATAGAAAAAAAAATGTATGTTATGGATAAAATATAAGGATTTCACTGATAAAAATTACAATTATCTTATACAGTACTGCTTAGATAAGCAGTAACTTCTCTGTTCCAGTTGTCCAAATAGTGTTTTATCACAATTTATCCAATTTTTAGTGCATCTACCACATGCAGTGGGTTTTATGGACAGAGCACTACCCACAGGAATGGGTTCTAGCTGCCTTAAACCGTTTCCCTCTCATTCTGACAGGGCTACAACCTCCCCTAGAATACCAATCTTATTCAGGCTTTTTTCTTTTTCTTTTATCCTTTCTCCTTATTCCTTTACTACCCTCCCTTGTGAGCTTGATTGATGGGAAGCTGATACAGATCACAGACTGAATGCAAATGGTTTCATATATTCAGGGATTAATAAAGGCATAAACCCTAAAATTACAAGTCCAGAAGACATGAAAAGAAATTTACAGTTATGAAAAATGGGATTCTTTCCTTCCACCCTCCTTCAGCTGTTGGGGTATTTCCCTGCGCCCCAGGCTTTGGAAAGGCTAAAGTTGTGTGAGCTAACAGAGCTCCACCTCCTGATGCTGGTGAATTTAGGAAAATTGGTTGTTTTTATGGACAAAATAAAAAGCTGTCAGAAAAGAAGAAAAGAAGAAAAGAAGAGCCCGTGATCTCCAGTCCCACACTCAACACAGAGCGTTAGAGCAGCGCTGTCCAAGTCGCTGCTCCCACGGCCAAACCACCCGGATAGTTAACTTGGAATGAGCAAAATGACACCAAAAAAAGGGTGAGGAATCCACTCAGAGGGAGCTGCAAAAGAATGTCCCATCCTGCAGGAAGAAAACGTGCATGGAGAGGCCTCTGGAACCTGAGGAACAGCTTTGTTCCGGGTGCCTCGCGTGCGATGAACGAAATGAGCAAGGAGAAAGAAATGCCAGCTCTTTCTGAGCTAAAAAGATGGGTCAGCACTTATCAAAACCTATTAATTCTTCAGTCCAATTACATTTTGAATGAACACACCCCATTCCCATTGTGTTTCTCAATGAATGATTCTGGTATTTTCTTTCAGGAATATACTGAATCAGCCACTGCGGGCAATTAACTCAATAAATGACTACCAGTGGGATGCACTGATGCTGTTTCCATGTGAATCCGAGATCTGTGAAAAGCTGGAAGAGCACTCAGCAGGACAGTGCTGAAAGTGGAGATGTGTTCCCAGCTTCACCCACTGACACAGACCCGTGAAGTGAAGGGTAACAAACGCCAGCGCTGCCAAGCAGAATTTGGCCCTGAATGGGTGTAAAGCCAGTAAAAATCCAGGGTAAAAAACTGCTGCACTTAACAAAAATCACCTTTCCAAATACTGACATTTTTGCCTTTTCCTGTTTAGATGCAGTTTTAGGGGGGAGAAAGGGATCATGAGAATTTCCCTACAATTTGCCCTACCAAACAGTTTGGGTGTCATCTCTGTTATTCCCTGGAGACCTCTGTGTGTCAGTAAAAAGTCATGGTGCTCGATAAAGGTTCCTTTTCCTTCAGCCTCACCCCCTGGTTTATAGAGAGCAGTTCCACACAGGAATTTGGGATAAATCACTGCTCTCTGAGAGTCCTTTCAAAAGCTAAGGGGAAATACTGTCTGTGGAATTGCCCATCACAATGGGAAACAAGCAACCCACAGAGGTGCAGTGTCCTAAACCCACAGCTAAAAGAAACCAGAATCCTCCTGAAAACGGAGAAATTCACATGCACAGGACACCTCTGGTCACTGCCATCAAGTCCAGGATGTATTTTTTACCCACTGGCAGCAGTTGTCTGTGTGCTGCTAAATTTCAGTGTTTCATGATAGCACATCTGAATTTTATGACAATGCTTGCCCCACACTTCTCTTTGGCAGAGAATTATCCCTTCCATGCCCCAAACAGTTTTAGTTCTGCTTTTTTCTTTTTTTTTCTTCCCCTGAGTGTTTAAACATCTAAAGGACAAAAATCAAGCTGTGTCTGCTTGGCATGTGAAGACTCTACATCACCAGAGAAACTGGAGGCAGCAAGTTCTGAACAGAGGCAGGAGCAGTAAAAGCAGTGATGAAAGGCTCTGGAAAGGCAGTTTTTTTCTGGCTCTAATATTAAAACACTACTCACAGACCTCTGCAAAAAAGAAAAAAAAAATCCCCATGATGCCAGAATCTGAGATCAAAGAAAACAAACAAACAAAGAAAAAAAGCAGATTAGAGGTGTGGAATGAGTAGTAATTAATAAAATATTTGAGAAAACATATTTTCAAAAATATTTATATACATGTACACACAGAAATGAAAATATAAATCTACCACAAGACTATTCACAATGTGCCTGGCAGAATCATGGCTTTGGCAGAATTAACAGGACTGAATGGTTTTGGGTTTCTTTTTTTAAGTGGCCTTGCATATCATAGGACAACTTCCCTGATTTACCAGGGATGATGCTGAATTTAATAACACTTGAAATATCCTAGAAATTCTTTACAGCCCAAACTCTCCTCCTTCCTCCTGACAAGCTAAGCACTAGTTCAGCAACAGGATTTGCCTTCAAAATATTTCAGGGAAGTTCTATGGCCTATATAATGAAAAAAAACCCCAAAACCAAAAAACATTAAAAATCAGGCTATATAATTGTTATTTCTTGCCTTAGAAGCTTGAGACATCTGCAAGTGCCTGTCCCATTACACAATCCTGTTGTCTCCATTGTACATGTGCACTTAGGAAGATTTATTGCACTGCATTTAAACCCAAACAACAAAGAAAATCTTGTAAGATCATCCATGCAATCTTGTTTTATTAATAAAGGCACTTCCAGATTCTATGGGTTGCACATCAAAAGTTATCCTGGTGCTGGCTGTGGGCTTGGGCAGATATTTCTGCTTCTTTTTTGCGTAGCCCTAACTAAAGATAAATACTACACCAAAAGCAAAGATACGCAAAGGAAATGAAATTTTTGAGTATTTCCACAGGCAGCCACGCCAACATTAACTAATAAAGGCTCTTACCTGGCAAGGGGCAGCCCAGGATTTCCAGCCTCATGCAGATGCTGCCCTCCTGGAACCAGGAGCGGGGGTTGATGCGGATGTAACGCGCCACCAGCGGCACCGGCAGCAGGTTCAGCACTGGGATCTCCTTCTCGCTGTTCCCCTCAAAAATCTGGGCAGCCAAACAGGGGGAAATGGCAACACCAGTGCTTCAGACTGTCTCTTGGTGGTTTGGGTAACAGAAGTGTAAAATCACCTGTCAGGCCCAGGCTGATGGTGGCACAGGCCAGAACTGCCCTTCGAGGATGGCGATCCCCCCATTCCCCCTGGACAATTCGGGGTCTGTACCTTGGGATTTGCTCTTGAAATCTACGGGACCACTGAGAGGTGATGCCACTGACTGAACTGTGGCCAGACCCCGCTTTCCCACCTCTGCTCTTCCTCACAAAACATGTTTCACTCTACTCACCACATCTCCAGACTCGTTTCTGACAGCAGTCCACGTGTGGCTGTCATTGCTCACCAGCACTCTGTACGAGGTCACCCAGTTACTCCTTGAAAAAGAGAATAAGTTACTTTTCATAACTTAAAATGACTGCACATTATTTAATATAATCAAGCTTATAAGGCTGCTAGCAGTGGAAATCCCATTTGGCAAAGTCATGCCAATCTGGATTCAACAGACTATTCAAAAAGCCTAGCACACAGAAGCAAAATCCTGGTGAGACAGTGTTCTGGGATTCCAGGAGGTGAGAGACTTGCTGCTCTCCTCTCCTTTGATATGCAGAGTTTGGGATAAATGGCTTATCTAGAAGAGATTTATGCAGTGTTCAAAGATCATCTTTTCAGCTGCAGAACATTTATTAGTTCTGCTCTTATTATCAGAGAGGATGGGAAAAAAGTAATAAATCCTCAAGGATGAAACATCTGTGAATTTCAACCAGCAAAATTTCCATTTCTTTCAATAGAAGAATAACTGGTGCTTGCAGTTATTCTTGTATGAGCAAGAGCTAGGGACAGAGAGACAATTGATCACAGGACTACTGCACTCCTACAATATCCTGATCCATCCCCAATAGGCTGATTTTTCTAATGTGATCTGATTTACAGCAAAACCCTCTTCCATCTAAAGAAGTCAAATACTTCAGTTACGCCTTGTCTTAAGGAAGAAGATGAGGAAATGTAAAATGCTGCTCCCCATATTCTGGATTAGAGCTGTGGAGTTTGACCCTGCTCGGGCATTACCTGTGGAAATGTGTGCACAGGGGTGGAGAAGGCTGGAGGAGGCAATGCCCAACTCTCCTCTCACATTTGCTACTCAGAAAGAGCAGCAGTGACTTATTTTTTCCCTTAACACCTGGTTTCAGTAGGCAGGAACCTGGAGGAGAGCTGTGGCTTGGAGAAACATTTGTACCTTTGAACATCTGAAGTCAGTCCAGGTGGATTAAATTCTGTATTTATGTGTTCTTCCTCAGCACAGGTTCTTAGCTAAGCTACAGTCAAACGGGAGTGAAACCAGTGTTAGTAAAGCTCTTGGCACAGGGGAGAAGAAAAGGGGCCTTTGGGGCAGGTATTGGACAAGCAGCAGAGCATAAAAATTGGAGATCAGGAATACCTGGAAGGACAGACACACCTAAGAACTTGCCCTTGTACTGCTCCTGTACAAATACAACTTTGATTTGTTTTGTTTTTTCTTGTAAAATCAACTAATAATAGCAAAGTACCTATGAACACACCCAGCCACGCTGAAACCACTGTGCCTGTGTTTAAAGGGAGAAATCAGCCTTTATGGGCTCACTAAAGAGAGTCAGGCTTCTAATGAAGACCAAAGAGGGATAAGGATGGAACAGGAGTAAAACCATCAGCCTCAGTTCTCCAAGAATTGTACAAAACAGACAACTGAGTTTTTTTACACATCTGAAAACAAAAAAATGAGGTAAATATTTAGTAGGATTTGAAAAATCACTTCTGGACATTCTGTAGTAATGCTTCCAAAATTAAAAAAAAATGAGATTTTGAAAAAAAACCACAAAAAAAGCCCAAAAAAACAAAAAAGCAACTGAACAAACCCAGCTCTGTTTTAGACACTAAACCAGTCCTTTGCAACTCTTTCACCAGCCTCCTTCAGTGAATAGATTTTGCCATTCATGTTAGATTAAACGGAAAAATCTTGACTATTGCCAAGCAGACAACTTTTTGTTATGGCAATGAAAAGAAGGGTACATCTATCACTTGTAATGCACACAACTTTAGTATTTGGTAAACAACTGTAACAAGTTAGCAGCACTCTGAAAATCCTAATTGTCTGCCTTTCAGAGGAAGGGCTCCTGGGGTAGGAGATTTACTGGAGAGCTGAGAAGTGCCGTGCTGGCGTCTCTAGAATTTGGCTGTAAAATGATAAATGACACACAACAAAATAAACAGTGACTTCAGCATGTTGGATAAGTTTCTCCTGACTCTTGCAAAGAACTTTCTTCCCTCAGCTTCTCTGTATTCTTAAGTTGAAGAAAGGCTGATTTACTTCTGTCAAATAAAGGAGCTGACAAAAAGGAAGGAGAGGGACTTGTGACAAGGACATAGAGTGCAAGGACACGGGCGATGAAAGAAAGTAGGATTGGATCAGATATTGGGAAGAAATTCTTGGTTGTGAAGGTGGGGAGGGCCTTTCACAGGGTGCCCAGGGAAGCTGTGGCTGCCCCTGGATCCCTGGAAGTGCCCAAGGCCAGGTTGGACGGGGCTTGGAGCAGCCTGGGACAGGGGAAGGTGTCCCTGCCCTGGCAGGGGTGGGAATGGGATGAGCTTTAAGGTCCCTTCCAGCCCAGACCATTCTATAAAATGGCCAACAGCAAAACTCTAAAAAGAGGAAAACAGCTTTTTTTGAATTACTAGCAAATGATAATCTTGAGAGCAGAACTCCTGGGTTTGAAGGAGGGTGCTGGTGGCAGAGTACATACTCAGTGCACATAAAACTATACTGCGCATTTTGTTGGGTTTTTCTTTATTTCCTTGCTCATTTTGCTGGGGGTTTTGGATGGGTTTCGCATAAATGGTTTTTTTACTGTTCTTGGCCATTTCTCAAAATCAGGTTAAGTGACCAAAAGAGGCAAATGCCACAAACCAAATAACATCATTGCTTCTGAAGTACTGCAGAACTTTTTTCACTTCAGCTGCACAGATCAGATTAGGGGGGCAAACAACACATCCATTTTCATTGCTCAACATCTGCAGAAGAAATTCAGAGTCCTAAAGTGACATAAAACCACGACAGTCGTGGACAGACTCTGTAACAGACTTTTGTAAGAAAATCATGGCACATATAGGAAGTTTTAAAAGAACAATCTCGCTTTACTGGCATGAGAAAATGGTGCTGTCACAGTAACATTTCTAAGCTGGGACTTTTATTTAAAATATTTTGATTTTCTCACTCCCTGCCGTTACAAGAGTTCCAGCTTCTTCCAGAGGAAAACATATCCAAGTAGTCCTGCACATTTTTCATCTTGAGTGGCAACAAGTAACGTGCTATGGAGAGGCAGAATGCAATAAAAATCCTAATGCACTGAATCCAGTCTTGGACACTGGCAGGACAGAAGGACCTCAGAGGCTCATGGATGAGGTAAATCAGTGCAATGTATGAAGGTACACACCATACACCATTAATTGTGTTTGCCTGTAAGGAAGAAGCAGAATAAAAACATCACAGGGGATCAGATCCTTCTGTCGCTGGCACTACATGCAAAGCTGCCTCCAGGGGCTTAAATCCTTCCCCCTTTTTCCCCCAATGCCATAATAAAAACAACTTCTGATCATACTAAGAAGCCTCCTGTAAATTCAGACTCCCCTGAGAAATGGCACCTTCTCCCTAAAAGCCACATCCCCCATGCTGGGGAAGGGGAACTCTGCGTGTTCTTGTGGTCTGAGCATCTGGAAAAAAACTGGCACAGCCTAATGCTCAGGGCTTTGACTGAGTATCTGAATCCCAGACACTTCTACAGCTCCAGACCAGCACAAGAACATCCAATTCACTAAACCTTCCCAAGAGCTGCAGCTTTCCCAGCCCTGTGTGGTACGGGAGGGCTGCTAACCCCAGGAAGCAGCTGGATGTGTTGCACATGCTCCAGCCTGTTTGCAGCACTTCCCAGGATCTGGGTGTTCCATAAACACCTGGTTTATTCATGTAGGCACAGAAATCGAAAGGTTTTTTGTAGCAATACATCAGAGGAACACGGCAACTGGAGCAAAGCCTTGTGCTAGGAGAAGTATTGGGGAAATTTGTCTGTGTGATTACCTGGTGACACCAAGATCCATCTCCTCAGGTTTGGGATTTGCAGACAGGGATTTCTGTCACATCCAGTCTTTTCAGGGCCCATCACCACTGAACAATAAAGCTGTCTAAGGAAGGCTGAAAGAGAGCTGTAATGTTTTCCAAGACTCAGAATGTCCCTGCTGCTGTTTCAGAGAAGCTCTTTGGGTTTCACTCTATAAAATCTCCCAGCACAATCTTACCATTGCACCCCTAAGAAAAAAATACAGATATTTGTTGGGTTTAAAGAGCTGAGGAGACAGAATTTTGGAGAAGTCCTAGGCTAGCAATAAAAAAAGAGTGCATTAATTATCGAGCTCTTTCTTGGCAGAAGGCAAGGCAATACAGAAGCCATGGCGTGACAACCCACCAGGGTTTGGGGTTACATCACCCCAAGTTCATCACCCTCTGCCACCAAGAGCCACTTCTGCCTCACAAATTTCCTCCATGCTGGAAAAAGATCACAAGGTACAGATTAGAAAGGGATCCTTTGGATTCAGGTGCATCCCTTTTAAATAATCCCTTTCAAAATTTATGGCAGCCTTATCTCCTCAGAAGCAGCCTGTCTGAAAAATCTCAGTTCCCACTGACAATATTAGGCAATTCCTTCTAGAGATAGCAAATGCAAAAATCAAAATATGACTCAAATTCACTTAATGTGGTGCATTTTTGAATTATTACTAATTACTTGATTTTTATCTGTAATGCACTGGCCTTAGACAAAGCTGATTTGAACACCTTCAATTCCAAATTCAGTTTCTTGTGATGCACGGAAATGTCCTGCTTTTCCATTTTCATCCAAAAAGAAAAGCTGAGGGATTAAATAACTTGCCCAGGGACAGAGAGAGTAAACCTGAATCAAAGCAGAGAATTAGAAGCAGATCTCCTACAGCTTTGGCAGGTTCCTGTCCCAATAATCAGCTTTTCCTTATCTAACCACAGCATCAGGCTACTGAGCACAGGCAAAAAGAGCACGGGCAGCACCAGAGCAACAAAACATCTTCCAGCTGTGCCTTCCCTGGTACAATCTCCTGATTTCTGTGTGTTGGACCCGAGGCTGAACCCCAGCTCAGGAGAGCACACAATGAATGCTGAATGGGAAGCAGTGGAGGGGTGCCAGGCTTTTTTCCTGCCCAGGCTCCAGCAGGCAGAGGATCAGCTGAGAATTGGGACTGTTTGGGTTTATTCTGTTTGAGCAGCATCTGCTGCATGGAATTTTTTAAGGCCAAGCTTCTCAACCATGGAAAGCTGAAC